TAGTGGGTAGAAGTCAGGGATGTTGCTAAACATCATACAATGCACAGGGCATCCCCCTATGACAAAAAGTTATCCAGCCTAAAATATTTATAGTGCTAAGGTTGAGAAACACTCAGTCTTCAGAGCCCCGCTTAAATACCACTTCTTCCATGAAGCCCTCCCATGATACTTTATATTGGTTGAGGGCCCCTCCCCCTCAGCGTGCTCCCTCTCTTCCTTTCTTCTCAGTCTTGGCACATGGGAGTACTCAAGACAATGGAACGTCTGCCTTCCCCACCAGCCCATTAGTTCCAGGATGGAATGGAGTGTTTGGTTCACCACTGATCCCAGCACCCTGAACAGTGCCCAGTGAAGTTAGGCATTGCTTTTTGCCTTGTTGACCCTGGAACACAGAGAAAGGTAGTTTACACAGGCGATGTGGCTTTTACTGGGGGTTACATGGGTTTTGGAAGGCTTCAAACACAGACCCACAGAAACCCATGGCCAAGAGCACAAGTCTGGAGATCCTGGCAGAAGTGGGTGGATATCATAATTCTACCACCTCCTAGTTGAGTGACTTTGAGCAGGTGACTTAATTTCTCTGGAATGGGTTTCATCGTCTAAAAAAGAAGCATCTAGGGCGCCTGGGTGGCTCAGTTGGTTAAGCGACTGCCTTCGGCTCAGGTCATGATCCTGGAGTCCCGGGATCGAGTCCCGCATCCGGCTCCCTGCTCGGCAGGGAGTCTGCTTCTCCCTCTGACCCTCTGACCCTCTTCCCTCTCGTGCTATCTCTCATTCTCTCTCTCTCAAATAAATAAATAAATAAATAAAATCTTAAAAAAAAAAAAAAGAAGCATCTAAATAGAACCTGTTTCACAGTTACCATGAAGATGAAAAGACATAGTGTACGTGAGGCACCGAGCACCCCCTCTGACCCAGGGCAAGGGATTAACCGTGGAGAGGAAGCAAGGGCACTGGGATGATGCGACTGCAGCCCACAGGCCCTGCGTGGTGGGCATAGGGATGCGGAAGGAACATCTTGAGACTGCTGGTCAACCTCTCCTTCTGAACTTTCTCCACTCTAAGGATGTGCCTACAAACATCCCATCTTACCTCTCCCTTGGGCTTGTTATGTGAACCCCAAAATAGCTCCCCACCCAAACTACAGGGGTGCCTCAAAAATCACCTATAGTTAGGGCTGGGGGTAGCCTTCCAGACTCTTACCCCCTCCACCCCAGACTCCCCTTAAGAGCTCTGGCTGGCACCCCAGGTTTCTTGCCTGGGTTCCACCCTGGCCCAGCCTTTAGGACGGCAGCCCCTTTGGACCCAAGCTGACTCTAGATTTCTCCGTTTTCCTGGGCTCCGCCTGTTGTGCCAGCAGGGGCCCCCACACCCTGTAACCTGCCTGGCGCCACCTCCCACGGGGTCTGAAACCTGGTCCACGGCCAAGTATCACAGTTCCCACTGGATCTGGAGCCACTGGGGAATTCGAAACACTTTCAATGAAGGATTCCCAGAATTTGATGGCTATCCTCCCTTCTCCCCTGGGGGGAGGAGGGTCTGTTTCCATTTCCAGGCCTTCTTGCTTCCTCTTCTCCCCACCCCACCCTCGTTTTAGGCATTCAGAAGCTGTTTTTAAAAGAGACAAAGGCCCATTTCCTACACTGCTCAGGTCAGCCAACAGAAGTGTCTGTCTGAAGATGGACAGGAAGTGGCTTGCCCTGCCTGGGCAGAAAGGACACCAGATGAGGCATGTGGGAGCCCAGACAGGAAATCCTTTAGCTCTGGGAGCAGGTGTTGGAGCCAAACCCCACACAGGTAGCCAGTGAGGTCCATGCACAGGAACCTCTCGACAGAAAGCCCTCCCTGTCCACAGAGCTGTGTGAGCACCAGGGCGGGCTCCAACAGCTTGGGGGGTGGGGAGGGATCCCCATAGCTGAGGGAGGAGAGGACAGGTGGCATCAGCTCGGCTGGATGGACACCCGGCTGCCAGCACATGGTTTTCTGTGACCACAGCCACCCACACCTAAGGGGGGTAGCAGCCCCTCACTTTGGTCTCCCTGTTTGGCTTTCTGCCCTGGGGCCTGTGAAACCTGATGGGTCAGTTTCTAGATCTGGGGTGATTCTCTTCCACTTCCTGGTTCTCACACCTTTAACTTCAGAGACTGTGTGGTTCACCTCCCCCTTAGTCGGCAAGAAGGATGTGGGTGGGTATTCCTCCTCCCCCCTCCCCGCCGCCGCAAAATGTCCAATGAAAGATCTGATCTCCTAATCAGCAATTCTTATCCCTGGGAAGTTATTTAAGGGATCAAAACAGCTGAAGTTAGACCTCCGAAGATTTAAATCAGTGACTCGCCTCTATCCCAGAGACACAGCGGTTCCTCCCATGCGGGAGGAATCTGAGCACAAGGAGCAGCCATCAGCCTTCTCCCCCACCACCCAGTCTGGTCTTGGTGGGAAGAGCGCTTTTGCCTCCTACATCTCTCTCTCTCTCTCACTCTTTTTAAGATTTTATTTATTTGAGAGAGAGGGCAAGGGAGCATGAGCAGGGGGAGGGGGAGAGGGAGAAGCAGGCTTCCCGCCGAGCAGGGAGCCCGATGCGGGGCTCCCTCCCAGGACCCCGGGATCATGACCTGAGCCAAAGGCAGACGCTTAACCAACTGAACCACCCAGGTGCCCTTGCCTCCTACGTCTCTTTTTATTCACTTGGAAGAAGCAGAGAGGTGCCTTTCCCTGCCCCTCCCCCTCCCCCTTTCTGGTAATCCCTCCAACGCATAACTCAATCTTCACTCAGTGCCTACTAAACATTTGCATGATCGCATGGAGGGGGAGGCAGCCCAGCAGGGTGGGGAGCTGGGTGAGGCAGGGAGGCCACTGGGCACACAAGGAAAGAAAGGGGGCCTCACTCTCCAGGGTCTTGCGAGCTTCCTGGCCCTGGCTCTGGCCCTGCAGCAGATGGCTGGTGAGAGGAAGCTTCAAGGAGTGATGGTTCACTCAGAGAAGGCTGATAGAAAATAGGAAGGGGCCTCACCACAGACACCTGCCAGCCCCAGCTTCCTCTTGCCTGGAACACGGGGCCTCACAGGTCATGAGGTGTGCTCTCTACGGGCTGGGCACTGGCCCATCAGAAGGCCCCTACTCCCAGGAAATGCAAAGACAAACTTGCATGAATGAGAACTTGAGGAAAGTCAGAGGCAGTTGTCACTGCAGGGGTGTGAGAAGGTTGAAAAGAATGATAATAATATTAAATGACACTGGGCGTAACTTACTCTGTGCCAAGCCCTGTGTTAAATACTTTATGGCCATTATTTTATGAATCCCCTCAACAACGCGACAAAGAACCTGGGCACTGGAGCCAGGCAGCTTTGATTTAAATCCCAGCCTTGGAAGGCCTGGGTTGCTCAGTTGGTTAGGCGTATGCCTTCGGCTCAGGTCATGACCGAGCCCCATATAGGGCTCCCTGCTTAGCAGGGAGCCTGTTTCTCCCTCTGCCTGTCCCCCCTGCTTGTGCTTTCTCTCTCTCTCTCTCTGACAAATAAATAAATAATCTTTTATAAATAAATAAATAAATAAATCCCAGCCTTGCCTCTGTCATGTTGTGTGCCCTTGGGAAATGACCTAATCTTCCTGGGCCTCAGTTTCCTCACCTGTAAAATGGGAATAACAGTCGGCCCTACATCATGGTATTCTGAGGGTTATGTTGGGGAATACAAGTAAAGCAATGACGTGAGCATCCCGCACCAGGTGAGCACTTGACAAGTGTTAGCCACAGTTAGCTTTGTCAGTGCCTCTTGTAGCTTATTCCTAGGGCTGCCGCAACACAAGTCTCATAAACTGGTGGCTTGAACAATAGAAATTTATTGTCTCATAGTTCTGGAAAGCAGGAGTCCAAGATGGAGGTGTTGGCAGACTTGGTTCCTTTGGAGGCCTGTGAGGGAGAATCTGTTCCATGCTTCTCTTTTACCTTGTGGGGGCCTCAGGCGTTCCTTGGCTTATAGATGGCCATCTTTTTCCCGTGTTTCTTCACATCGTCTCACCTCTGTGTCCAAACTTCCTGTTTGTGTTTGTCCGTTTGGGCTGCTATACCAATAGCATAGACTAGGTGGCTCAAACAACATAGTTTATTTCTCACAGTTCTGAAGGCTGGGAAGTCCACGGTCAAGGTAGTAGATTCGGTGTTTGGTGAGAGTCTGCTTCCTGGTTCATAGACAGCTGTCTTCTGCCATGTCCTCATGGCAGAAGGGGAAGGGAGCTCGCTAAGGTCTCTCTTATAAGAGCACTAGTCCCAATCATGAGGGTTCAGCCCTCATGACCTAGTCACCTCCCAAAGACCCCACCTCCAAATACCATCACACTGGGGATTGGTTTTCAACACATGAATTTTTTGGAAAACAGAAACATTCAGTCTATAGTGGCATTTTTTTTAATTAAAAAAAATTTTTTTTAACTTATTCATTTGAGAAAGGGAGAGCAAGCAAGCAAGAGCAATCGGGAGGATCAGAGGGAGAGGGAGAAGCAGACTCCCCACTGAGCGCAGAGCACAATGACACAGGCCCAATTCCAGGTCACAAGCCCTATCCCGGGACCCCGAGATCATGACCTGAGCCAAAGGCAGAGGCTTAACTGATGGAGCCACCCAGGCGCCCCTATTGTGTGTGTTTTTATAAAGACACCAGACATATTGTATTAGGACCCATTCCAACGACCTTACTTTAACTTGATTACCTTTTCGTAAAGATCCTACTTCCAAATAAGGTCACATTCTGATGCACTAGGAGTTAGGACTCCAACATATCTTACACTTCAAGGCTAAGTAACTTACTCAAGGTGACACAGCTTGCTGGTGATGAAAGTGGGTCCTAGAACCCTAGATTATTTGATGACAAATCCCATGGCAATACAACCCAGCATAAAACCCCAACACAATTCCACCTTTTCTGGGCAGGGAGAAAGAACCAAAGAGAGACACTCAGAGTCTGCTGTGTTACAGCCTTTTCCCTTCTCTCTCCCTTCCTCCATAGCCTGCCTGCTCCAGGCTGAGCTGGTAAACTACGAGCGAGTCAAGGAGTATTGCCTCAAAGTTCTAAAGAAGGAAGGAGAGAACTTCAAGGCCCTTTACCGGTCTGGTGTGGCCTTCTACCACCTTGGAGACTACGACAAAGCCCTCTACTACCTGAAGGAAGCAAGGACCCGACAGCCAACAGGTAAGGTGGCAATTGCTGTTTTCTTACCGTCAGTCCCCTCTGGCAGCTCCGGAGGCCTCCCCGTCGTGACGCACAGCTGTCCTGGCTGGCGGGGCCAGGCGTGGGGCAGGACCTGAAATGAGGAGCATAAACAGTCCACGCATTTGCCTGGGGTCTGCGTTCCAGGGAGCTGGGGCACCTCTTTTCAAATAGAATATGGAATTCTTTGGGGTTTTTTCCAATCCAGAAGCCAGCTCTCTCTGCTTACTCAATAAATACATATTGAATTCCGAGTTACGTGCCACGGTTTGTGCTGGATGCCAGGGATGTAGATAAGAAGATGGAATCCCTACTTGTGAGGACCTCACACTCCAGCTGGCGAGACAGAATATGAATGGATACTCTTGGTGCTGAACTCAGCGTCTTCCAGGAAGCATGCTCTGACTTCTCTGGTCACCTCCCATTTCTTAGAGCCTGCATTACCTGGACCGTTCGCTCAAACTCATATCCACCAGCTCAGCCACTCATTCATTCTCCCAATAGGGAGCAATGTGCTCCCTATTCCACAGACATTTACTGAGCAGGTACAGTGGATCAGGATCTATTCTAGATGCTGGGTAGATAGCAGTGAATAAAAGGAAGCTGCTACCTTCCAGGAGTTTATGTTATAACGGAGGAGGAGAGACAGTAAACAAATGGACAGATAGATAATGTAATATTTAGTCATGCTAAGCGCTAGGAAGAAAATAAAGCAGAGTAAAAGAACCAGGAGTAAAGGGGGTGCTGTTCTACACCAAGTGGTCACGAAGAGTCTCTCTGAGGAGGTAACATTTAAACAACAAATTTGACTTGGTGTTACCATGGTTGTTCACTTGGCTGATTTTTTAAAAAATGCAGTTCTCCATCCAAGAAGAATTTAAGAACTTCAGGATCAGTTTGCAAATATCTAAATGTATACGTTTTTCTATATTCTTAAAGAATGCCCATATCCCTTCTCTTTATTTTTATGTGTCACCGGTTCTTTTTCTGTATATAAATTGTGTTCTATACTCTAGGCAACTTGAAGACTAAGAACTGGACCCATTTAACAGAATTTTCTTGAACACCTCCTATATGCCAGCACTGCTAGATGCTACCCCTGGCATTTCTGAGTATTAGCATTCATATGACATCCCAGGCAGGCTGCTCACTAACTTAATGCCTTAGAATGGGGGGGGGGATGCCCCCGTTTCTGGGGAGGTGGGTACCTGACCTTACGTAAAGGACAAAAGACAACGAAGCAAAGTCATTTTAAACTCTTCAGTTTAAAAAATTTACCTTCAGTGAATATTTATTGCTCACTGGATGAAGCACGTTCAGACTTCTCTATTTCGGTCCTCACAGCAGTTGTATGAAGAAGGTACTATGCTCCCCAGGGGAGGCAGGCTGCCAAGTCGCATGCACCACTTAACCACGGGGCTCCCAGGGCATCTTCATCTCTCCGGGGGCTCGGTTCTCCCCTTTGTCACAGTGAGGATGAGGACCCGTACTTGGCATGATTGCAATGATGTGAAATAGATGATGAAGGTAACAAGCGTGGCACAAAGTAGGATTCTGTGTAGACCCGACAGTTCCCCGCACCCCCCGCCCAGGTGCTCCCTAAGATGTGTTTCCCTCCTCACAGACACCAACGTGATTCGGTACATCCAGCTGACGGAGATGAAGCTCAGCAGATGCTCCCAGAGAGAGAAGGAAGCCATGTAACAGCTGCTGCCGCCCCAGAGCCGGGACTCCCAGGCAGCCCCCAGCGAAGAGCCGCTCCTAGGTTTTGTTCCCTTCTCCCCACTTCCTTCGGCTGCCCCTCAACAACCTGTCTGCTCCCAGTGTGAAAAGAAGGAGACATGCAGGTTTGGAACCTGGCAGGTTGCCTGCCATGGAGACACCCCTTCTCTAGCAGGCCAGCTACTGAGAGGGACCTAACTTCTTCGGGGACAGCCGGAGAGGACTCTTACAGGGCCGACAGTGCTGCCGTAGCTTTGACTTTGGCCAGTGCTTCTGACAGAGGCAGAGCCTGCTGAGTGTACCAGCCCAACGGCAGCAGGCACAGAGCCCCCGGGCCGGACCCCTTCACACTTTGCCGACAGACCAGAGCATCTCAAGGCAACCGTGACAACTCCAGGGAGGAGACAAACACCAGAAGCCTTGGGTGAAGCCAACAGACAGTGAATTTGTACACTGGATTCCCTGCCCCCAGTCACCTCAGCCCCTGCCTCCCTCCCTCCACTTGTGGTCTCGGCCTGGCTTTCTTCTCTCCCCCTCAGGGATCTGAGACTGCCAGGATTCACATGCCATGGAAGCCCACTCTCAGTGCCCTCTGGTGACCACACATACCATGCTCCCGGACTCCCACCCAGCAGGCAGCTGGCCACAGCAGAGCGGCAGGGTGAGGTGGGCCAAGGCTGAGCGCTGAAGCGCCGAGGTGACGGAGGGGAGGGGCGGTGACATCCTAGGGGAAGGAGCATTGTATTGCCTTCAGGATCGAACTGTGGACTAAGTCAGTGTAAATAAAAATAAATTAACAGGCAGCAGTTCCTGTCATTTCTGTTGGAAGCGGCCCACTCCCTCCCTCAGCTCTGAGTCAGAGCTATGTACGGCTTCCCCCAAAGCAAGGGGCCGTTTGTCTGGTGGTAAACAATGTTAAGCTGCCGCCTTTGTGCGGTAGAGTGGGCTGGCGCTGTGGAGCCTGCCCAGGGACTTGGCTTTGTGGGGATTTGTACAGCCTCCTTTTGATGAAATTATCTGGACTCAATATCTAGCACATAGAATGTGTTCAACAAATATTTGTTGAATGAATAAATTATGACTGCAGACTGGCTCTCCTGCCTTAAACTAATTTTAGCCCAGCCTAGTCTCCTGATATCTATGCTCTTTACGCTCTGCCCTGTTGCTTTAGTCAAATAAGAAACATTTACTGAGGGCTTATTGTTTGCCTATCATTGTGCAATACACCGTGGGACAGAGGATGTAGACCCGGTCTTTAAGGAAATAGAAGAGTTGAGAAATACTCATATGAGATTATCACCAATGACACCTTTAATTTATATGATGCTTTAAATTTTTCAAAGCACTTTCGTGTATTTTTTGTGTGATTAGTGAGACAATATTGTACAAATTAAAATATATACAGATGCAATAATGTTAATAGCATTTATGAAATGCACTATCCTTAGACCACTACATGTATAATCTCATTTCTTTCCTGCAATTACCCTATGAGATACTATTCCCATTAGGTGGATAAGGAAACTTAAAATCCAGAAATATTAACTATCCCAAGGTTATATGGCCTTAAGTGACATAGCTAGGATCTGAAGCAGGTCTGTCTGACTCCAGAGCTCTAGCTCCTAACTAACCTATGGTTCGCTGCTGCTCTACAAAGTATTATATTGAGCGGTTACCACCATTAGGGAGCAAGACGGTGCGTATTGAGTTGAAAAGCCTTGACTATGCCCATGATGGTACGTGGGCTGCCTCTGTATTTAGTCCAAGGTTAAAAAAGGTCCCTAACACCAGACTCCCTAGTGATCGGGGCAGTGACAGGCCAGGAAAGACAGCCGAGACCTAGCAGTTATTTCTGTGTATTATTCATTCTACTTTCTGATGTCGGCGCATATCCAAACCCACCTAGCGTTCCCCCAGCACTGGGGAAGGTTCACAATTATAGGTAGAGATTGAAAGGAAACACAAAGTTAATTATGGGTTCTACGTGTAATCAGAGGCTCCACCACTGCAGGATCCAATCACTGCTGAGGGGCCCAGAAGCCAGCAGTCCAGGTTATATTCACATAGCTCCTGAAAGGCTTCCAACGGGGGCTTCAAGAAGGTGCTAGAAATACCCAGGGGCCCGCAGTTGCTTGCCTATAGCTCACTTCTGGAGAAGAGGAAAAGGAAATGCTGTTACAGCTGCCACATTCTCCCCCAACCCCTACCAGATCCTTCCCTCTGCCCTCTTCTTCCAGAATGACTTCACCCGTCCCCAACTCAGAACCGTCCTGCATCATACACAGCATAAGCAGATGTGCAAAACTCCCCCGTTGCCAAGCCTCCAGCCCAGAAAGCTTGCAAGTTGGCAAACTGCTTGTCGGGAGCTGAAGGAAGGGGATGAGGTCAAGGGTGGACTGCAGAACCAGTTCTTCCTTTGGTCTTCATGCCGTCAGGAAGGACTCAGACTAACTCTCCCCGAAACAGAGCAGGAGAGAGGTCTTGCCTCAACAAGTAAGTTGGGGCAGAGCTGTACAGATGGGGATAAGATTGTCTCCATCCTTCTAAAGAGAAGGTGGAAAACCAGAACTAGGGGAGGACAACCTTGGGCACAGGCCATCTGCCTGTCTGGTGGTTCGCATACACTTGCTTACTGGAATCCATTCACTGTGACCCAAAGTTAAGTGATCCCAAAGTAAAAAATTGCCTGGGGGTGTTGTTCGATGTTTGGGGTGGAGGGATTGAACTTGCTGTGCATTTGTCCAACAGGGACTTCAGAAAGCTGTTAAGCAAGATCAGGTCTATTCACCCTAGCAGACCTTCAGCTTCCTGCTGCCCATCCCTCCCCAAAACGGGGACCGTGATTTAATGACACGCTTTGTTTGCAGATGTCACTGCTGAACCAGACCTGGAGCACTAATCCTGGATCTGACCTGCTTTGTCATCTCCTGCTTGGACTTTTGTAATAGACTCTTTGTGGAAAAAATTATACTTTTCTTGTTATTGTTATGAAAGCCTCACATGTGTATTGTAGAAATTTTAGCAGGGGAAAAAAAGACAAACTCCAGCCCAGCATCCTACCACCCTAGACAAACATTGCTATCCTTTTGGACTTATCTTTCAGTTCTTTTTGGTATAAATGTACACATGCACATGATGGTTTTTTTTTTAACAAAAACTGGATTACACTGTGTATATTCTTTAGTAACTTACTTTTCAAAATGTGTATTTATATTTTAGAATATGTAATACTCATACAGATACAAAATTCAAAAAGGACACAAAGTTCTATAGTAAGAAGTAAATCTCCTTCCCACCCTATCTGCCAGCATCTAGTTTCCCTCTGATTACTTGTACTGTATATCCTTCCAGAAACATTTATGCATTTTTCAAATATATGTGTATATATTCTTTTGTCACAAATGGAAGCATTATCAGACACTTTTTTTGCACCTTATGCTACTTCCCTTACTATATTATGAATGAAACATTTTTTGTGTGTCTCTCAAACTTTTTCAACAGCATCCTCATTATGCGGATGGACTCTCACTTGGTAGCCCGTCTCCTTATAGTGATTATTTCATTTGTTCCCATTCTCTATTGTAAATAATGTTGCAGCAGACATTCTTGTAGCTAAATTTTGCACACACTTATGGCTATATCCTTGGGATAAAATCCAAGAAGGAAATTGCTTAGCTATCCTTTAAGAATTTTGATATATGTTGCCAACTGCCTTCAGAAAGTTTGTACTAAACTTCACACTCTCCTATTTGCCGGCTTGAGAGTGCCCTGTTCCCTGCAACCTCACTAAGAGTGGGTATGGTCATTTACCAAATCTTTACCAGTCCAGTAGGAAAATAATAGTATGTCAATGTTATTTGAACTCACACTTCTTTGATTATTAGTGAATAACATCTTCAAATGCCCACTGACCATTTGTACTTGTTTATTTGTGATTTTTCTATTTATTTGATATTGGTATGTTTATTCTCAATATGTAATTTTATTAAGAATATTATTTTTGTCAAGAAACATTGCAAATATGCTTTCCAAGTGCTCTGCTTTCAAATTTTGTTTATGGTGCTCTTTGACACACATAAATTCTTAATTCTGCAATTAATTTGGATCTCTGTTGCCAGCTCCTTGTACCTATGGTTCACCCTCTTGTTGCTGTCAGAGCTCCCCTTCTAAAACACAATCTGATTCTGTCACTCCACAGCTTAAACATCTTTAGTGGCTCCTCACCCCTTTTAGGATAAAGGCCCAACTCAGCATAACACACAAGGTCCTCCGTGTAATTTCTCCCACGGACTCGTCCAGGCTCCCCTCCTGGTCCTCTTCCAAAGGTACCCTACATCTCACCATTGCACAGCTCCCTGTGATTCCCCAAACCCATTGCTCTGGGTCTCTGAGCCTTTCCATGTGGCTCCCTCTGCCTAGTTGGCCATGCCTCACCCCTCCAACCCCCTCTTTTCCTTGCTAACTCCTGTAGGACTCGACTGAGGCATCACTGCTCCAAAGCTTTCCTTGACCCCATGGTCTGTACTCCTATACCAACATAAACCTGCCTCTGTAGCATTTGCTACAAGGAATTGGAACTTCCTATTTATGTTTGTCTCACCCACCACCTGGCTGATCCTTGAGGCAGGCACTGGGGTTTATTCATTCTTTGCAGCCAGAATGTTGAGCACAGTGCTTGGCACACAGTAAGTGCTCGATAAACGCCGAGCCCTGAATCTGGAATGAATGAGTAATGGATTCAGTGGCCAGTGTTACTTGGGAAAAACACAGGGCTGGACTGAATCTATGCTTCTGAGAACCAAGAAACCACAGGAGACACGTACTCCAGTGCTGTGCTTTCCAGAACATCAGAATCACTTGAAGTAGCTTTTTAAAAATACATAATCTCAGCCTCTGCCTTAGACCCATTGATTCAGGCTCCCAGGGATAATACTCAAGATACTATAGATTTTAAATGTCCTAGTGTTTCCCATGACCAGCCAGGTGAAGGAGCGCAGTGAGGTAGACCAGCAGACAAATCAGAGCTCCCAGCTCCACCATTTCTAACCATGTGATCTCTAAGAATGGACAGTTGGAGCTTTGTTTGAATACCAGCTTTGACATCCACTAGCTGTGTGACCTTGGGGCTCTTGCTTGACTTTTTGATCCTCATTTTCCTCCCCTATATGTGAAGATAATTTTATATTCCTTACTGGGCTATTGGGAGGATTAAGAAATAACTTGTCCTCCTAGCTCAGGGCCCTGCACAGAGTAAACGTGGAATAAACATTCATTTCCTTCCCGCAACCTCCTGAGCCCCCGGTTCCTCAGTTATGGTATGGCTAATACCTTTACGTTCATTTTCCATTTTCCCACCCTGCATTCTAGAAGGAAGGAACTTCCAATAAGCCCTCGGATTACTCTCTCATCAAGGAGGGTAAGGACTTGGTTGGGGGGATGGGGCAGAAGAAGCCACATACTCTCTCACATGCCCTCTCCCAACATGTCAGAGAGTCCACAACAATCAGTTGGGATAATTCTGCTGGTTGGCAGAACCAGGGGTCTTCTAGTCACATCCAAAGATCAACCCAGTTTTCTTCCTGTGGTAGCACACAGAGGCCAGTGGCTTCTGGGCTGCAAGAGGAAGGTGACCACCAGGAAAGAAAGTAATCATTGCCTGTTTCCTCCCAATGCCCTGGGATCCTACTTACATGCCTCAGGGCAGGAAAGACGAAACTGGCTGTAAGGCAGAAATAGCTGATTTGCAGTTGCTCTGAAGAAGGTGCCCCTGTGTCCTGCTCCCAATACCGACTTGCCCTCTCCC